CCGACTCCCAAAAAGAAAGGTTATCAATATGTATGTACACTGATTTCTAAGCTTGATCAATTCGTATATACATGATGAAATTTTAGTGGTTGTTGTCCCGCAGCCAAATTATACTGTCTCGATAGTAGAGTCAATTTATTAAATTAAAAAACATTACAATTAAAAAAGGGCAGATTTACAATAGTAATACCTCACAAGCTAGTCGGGCGTCCAGACTAGTTTATGTCGTATCACTACGCTTGAGAGTTCATGTTATGAACATTTATTAGTGGCCCTTCACTGTGTAGGAAGCGGTAGCGCGTGCGATAAACGTAACACAACATTACGTCCAGTGAATTTTTTTTCAGACTTTATTATAGTAATTCGGTATAAGCTAGCCTGCACGCCCGACCTACTTGCGAGATATTGATATTGGTTTGTGATCGCATTCGAGTTTTATTTTTCTCGATTCTGCCATTTTTGCATCCTAATAATTTTTATTTTAATAAATCTATTGTACTACTAAGGCAAAATCATTTTACTTCGGGAAAACAACCATTAAAATTTCAGCGTGTATATTGGATCAATCTGTGTGTATATCCCTTCAAATAAAAAAATCTAAATCGGTTTAGAAATTGTAGAATTCTGAGGTAAAAAACATTAAAAAATACACCGAATTGATAACCTCCTCCCTTTTTGTAGTCGGTTAAAATTAAACATTACACGATGTGCTTATTATATTCGAGCAAATTAATTGTGTCTAACAATATTCTTAAATTTAGTACATCTGCATTTTTGTACCATTAATATATGTATAATAAAGTTATATTAGTACCATCATTATCGTGTTTATTTTATTCCATTTTATATTCGCATAAAATACATCTTCGTACGTAATACGTAATCTTTATTATATCGATTTTTTAAAATTAATCGAAAAATAGTGATTTGCACAATTTGAATGCAAACGCCAGAAACTGGTATCACTGAATGGCGTGTATGTGTGCGTGTGACGAGCGTAGGCACATTCGACTCGCGCCCACTAACATAATGACCTTGCATCATTTTAACGCTCGTGTTTTGTACTAGACTGCGTTTCTATGCGTAATAATTCTATGGAATAAACAGTAAACAATGAACACACGCTAGACCGCACCGCTATCTTCATCACTATGTAGTCAAATTCAAACTAAGCAATCAGAATCAAAACAATATCCTACGCGTCGAGCACAATAGTGGTGGTGTGTACAAGTTATAACTTGTTCAATCATGCATTTGCGAAGATTGTCAAAAATATCTAATAATAAATAATAGACCATGTCGGATTACGGGGGGTGCCGGATTAGACAGGGGCCGGATTACTTGGGGTCCACTGTATTCCTTTTACCGAGTATAAAAGCATGTGCGGACATTAGATTATTTCGAAAACGTGAAAGTGAACCCTACTCCGGAAAGCGATTACAAGAATTCAGCCTACGACATTTGCGATTGTTAAAACCTCACCCAAGAAGCTTAGAGATTTTTCACGAGGTAATAATAAACTTGCTATGTGTGTGGAAAAATATATCCATCTCATCCCAACCGGCATTTTTACTCACCCCGCACCTAACAATATATTACAACTGCAACATTGTCGGGCTTCGTCGTCGTGTTTTTTAGAGTCAATTTTTTTAGAGTACTTTTTCAGTCAAACAATTCGAACAAAAAATATTATCTTGACAGGGGTATGTAGCCGTTATCCAACTGAAGACAATATGATCATACATAAATAATGCTGAATCCTTCTTTTGTAGCAACTTATTCATCAGAATCAATAACTTCATTTAAAAGCTTATTTTCAATAGACAGAAAATAATTTCAATAGAGGCGCAATACTCACCGAGACAGTTGCCGAGGTAGATCTTCTTGTTGGTGGCGGGCGAGTAGCGCAGCGTGCGCAGCCCCCGCGTGCCGCACGTGCACCCCTCCCCCGCATCCCCCGCACGCCCCGCGTCCCCCGTACCCCCCTCCTCGCCCAACTCCCCGGCGTCTTCCAACTCGTCGGCGTCCCCCGCGCCCACCCACGCGTCGCCCCGAGTCTCCGCGTAGCTGTTGCCATTTTACCAAATCATATCACTAGAAATTCTAAAAAATGCAAGTTTAAAATAATTATTTAGTAACGAGTGTTCTCGTTTCTACTTCACAAGTCATGTGATAGCATATGTGGCACCCGTGTCATACATAGGGCACACTGAAAATTCTGCCGTCCTGGCCGCTCACAAATGTTTGAATTTAAATGTTAATTTTTTTAAAACATTACGAACACATAATACATTGAATAAATATTTTTGACGGCGTGTTTTTTGTTTTGACAGGTTGAAGTTCATCATCCGTAACAAAAATGGAATTAACGCGAAAAGATTTTTAGGCGATGATTTTTTATGATTTCAAGAGTTCAGTCTCTCCGCAAGATTGCACAGTTCGTCTTTAAAATGTTTTTGGGAGGGAAAAAAGAGTAAATATATTTAAATATATTTGTTTGAATATAAATTATTTTATTTTTGGTTTACGCACCCTACGTATGAATACTTGTAACCCACATAACAAAGAGAACATAATCATCATCATCATTACAGCCCTTCACAAGTCCACTGCTGACCATAGGCCTTCCCCAAGGAATGCCACAAAGCACGGTTCTGGGCCACCCGCATCCATCGACTTTCTGCATGTCTTACCAGGTCGTCACTCTATTTAGTGGGGGGTCACCCTACACTTCGTCTACCGGTACAAGGCTGGGACTCGAGAACCTTTTTATCCCATCGATTGTCGGTTCTTCGAGCTATATGGCCGGCCCATAGCCACAGCTTACTAATCCGTTGGGCTATGTCGGTCACTCTGGTTCTACTGCGGATATCCTAATTTCTACGTTTATCACGCAAAACACCGCGAGCATAGCCCCTCCATAGCTCGCTGAGCGACCTTGAGCGTTCTCATACGGCTAGCAGTGAAGGACCACGTCTCAGATCCATAAGCCATCACTGGCAACAAGCACACATGACCTGACGAGAATATATGTCGTAATTTCCCGAACGCTGCCCAGCCGAGTTGAATCCGTCGATTAACCTCTCGGTCGAAGTTAAACTTACCTAGTCGGATTATTTGTCCCAGGTAAACATACTCTTCAACAACTTCGAGCTTAGTGCTCCCAACAACCACCGGCAAAGATGTGACATGAACATTACACATGACCTTTGTTTTGTCCGTGTTCATCTTAAGACCTATCCATTGGGAGACACTATTGAGGTCATTGAGCATAGTGCTTAGATCCTCCAGCGATTCTGCCATAAGGACTATATCGTCGGCAAATCGATGGTGAGTGATGTACTCGCTATTGATGTGAATACCGTATCCTTTCCAGTCCAGAAGCTTGAAAACGTCTTCCAATGCAGCAGTGAAGAGTTTCGGGGATATAACGTCACCCTGTCTTACACCTCTCTGCATTTGGATAGTCTGATGAAGTCAACGCTCCGTCCCCCTCGTGCTCTAATCCAAAGTCTCGAAACCTTTGAATTCGAGTTACATAACCGTTTTCAGTGCCTAGAATATTGCAATACAGTGGACGATATGAATGACAAGCTCGTGGAAACTGTCCATACGGTCAGAGCTAAATTTTGCAAGACCTGCCGCAGAAGAACACAAAAAACTCTTTGATCACACTCTTAATCTCATGGCTGTTAGACGGAAAATGAAGCTGCAGTATTCAGCAGATTTAACAGCATACAGGCAACTGAACAGACAGATCTCCAAATTCATGCGGCGGCTTACGCAACTTTAATATTGCTCGCATAGAAAAAGCGATCGAGCGGAATCAGGGCTCCAAAGTCTTTGCTAGAGATCTGTCAGTCAGAAAGAGCCAACTGTTGAAGCTGAAGATCAAATAGTTTCCGGGACAACTTAGATTTTGAGTAAGATTGAGAGGTTCTATGGACAGCTGTACACATCATCGTTGGAGCCACACGCAAGTATGAGTAACAATTCAAGAGCAAGTCGAGCCAGATTAGAATGGCTCTCCAGCACCTTAAAACGACAAGGCCCCAGGCGAGGATGAAATTACAGAGGATCTTCTGAAAGCGGGTGGAAAACCGGTACTTGGTCCTTCAGAAGCTCTTTAATTCCGTCCTCCTAGGTGGTAGCAGTAGTAGGAGCGTACTCCGGAGGCATGGAGCAGAAGTGCGGTGGTCTTGTTATTCAAGAAAGGCGACAACGCTCTTTTGAAGAACTACAGATCGATTTTCCTTCTGAGTCGAGTCTACATGCTGTTTTCGATAGTCATTACGAATCGTCTCGCATGCAGACTCGACGACTTCCAGCCTCCCGAACAAGCCGGTTTCCGAAAAGGCTTTAGTACCATAAAGCACATAATACCCTTCGGCAAATTGTAAAGAAGACCAAACAGTACAATCCGCCACTCCACTGTGCTGCAGTCCCTTCAGTGGTACCAAGTTGACTGTCGGTATATCGAAGTGTTAAAGTGTTTGTACAGTAGGGCTACGATGGCTATCCAAGTACAGAACCAGAGTACGAAACCTATCCAACTGCAGAGGTGTAAAAGAACATTGATCGTCAAAGCTTTGAACTGTTCTGCATTGAATGCAGCTCAGTGCAAGGATCTTTAATGGGATGCCGCGGCCCAAGGATGAGAACAGTCTCCATATGAGGTCGAACTTGCGCATTGTAAAGTTGCAAGCGGTGAGTCTGAATGAAATACGGTCTCTCTCGCACGTGATACTATGACGCCGAGGATTCCGATACTGTTTCAGGTAACAAGAGGAGTGCTTTTAAAATTGGACATTCGACGAAAGGTTTTTTTTAGAGGTAAACGCACAAAAACGTAACTTTCGGAGATTAAATTAGACCAGATTTAGTCGCTCTCATTCCGAGATTTTTACAAAAACTTGACTTCAGACACAAGTTTGTTCCGGCACCGATATGCCACACGAGCAATATTGACACGAGCAATATTAGCACGACCGGTGTACATCTTACCAGAGCAGCCGTGGCGCATCATCGGCTTCCTCATCGGAGCGCTCCGACTCGCGCAACGTCTCCTGCCGCTTTAAGATCTCAGCTCTCATTTTGATAATCTGGAAGTTAATCATTGCCAATTTAAATGTATAGCCGACTTTTAGATACGAGTAATCAACCTTTATATTGGAGAGACTTACTTCTTCATTCGCTTTCACTTCCAAGTCTCTTTGTTTCATTTCTTCCAGCTCAGTTTTCTGTTGGACCATTTGTTCATAAAAAGACAGTGTTGGTCTATTGTGCTCATGAAGGAATTGCTGTAATGAATGTTTTAAAAAATGTATTAACAGATACTTAAATAGAAAATAAAGTGCAATACATGACTTTCTTTTCACAAATATTCTAACTGTATGGGAATCCATTGCGCTTTTTCGTGTTGAACGATATATGAATCTATTGTAATATTCAACAATGGACGGAATATCCAGACAAGTGCGGGGAACAGCTTATAGTTTCTTTGGCTAATATACTTAAAACATAAGGTGTCAAAATAATTAATTATCGTGATCATCATTACAGACCTTCGCAAGTCCCCTGCTGGACACAGGCCTCTTCCGAGAAATGCCACAAGATTCTTGAGTCACCTTCATCCATCGACTTTGTAACTAAATAAGCAATACTTATCATAAAATAAAAGCTTTTGAAGCCCAGAAGTGCTGGAACAAACCACCACACACTTTACGTTAGATAATGGCTATTGCAGGAAAATGGTCCTACACTGTTATTATTATTAGTTAGACTTAGATATCATTTTATATAACTTATATATATTACTGCTTGTAGATATGATATTCTAATACGCGAGCTGAAACGAGAAGAATAAGTCAAATGTTCCTAATATTAGAAATAAGACCAATCGGTTTTTATTTCTAATATTAGATAACGGTAGTATACAATACAATAATAACTTTATTTCACGCATCAAGGAGTTGAACATTAAGAACATTGGCCCATAGCAATATATATACCTAAACCTAAAAATATATATAAAACAGAAACATAACACTATTTAGGGAACTTTTTCCTTTGACGTCCCTGTATCGGGAAACACTACCCCAGAGGACCAGAAATCGGGAGCGAGGAATGTCTCTTTGTGTTTTGTAGGAACCTGGAGTACGTAGGATTTGAAGTTCGTTGACCTGTTAGACTCTACATGCTGCAAATGTAAGGAGATTGAATCTTCTACGCGGCATCGGCTTCGTTCTTCCACGAAACGTAGAATAGGATGTCTTCTCCCTACGTACTTTTGTCCAAACGGGAGATGTGTGGGCTCCACAGCACGCAGAGTTGTACTCGCGTTTATTTTGGCGGTCCCACGCTGCTTACAGATGGGTCTCGACCGACGTCTCTTCTCAATAAGAGTAAACCCGTCATTATCGATCTTATTTCAGGTCACCACAGGAACTGATCTTATATCCACATTCTTCGTTTTCAATCACAAGATGGCGCCGGACGTGAAAATTTTCGGCCAACATTCGAAAACGTCATCCCTTGTCCTGAATAGAATATAATAGAATATCGTTTATTTCTTAGTAGCCTGAGGTTGGCTTCGACGGAGGAGCACCCATGGGTTCAGTCAAGGGTTGAGTTGATAATGCAACAATGATCGAAGTCGCCCCAGTTTCACGGTCGTCAACCCGCTGACTGACGGTATCGCGTGACGGAGGCGGAATCATCGGTGGAATATGACTACTATTACGGTTACCGCGTTTCGTATTTACATTCAGCGACGGCAGTGAATTCGCAGATATTACAATTATGTTGCACAACATATTGACTTCGTTCCTCAGCTCTATTGCGGATCGTTCCGATTCTACAACTTTGAAACGGCTTTCAACGTGGTGAATTCTTTCAACAATCTAGTCACGTCAACGTGATCGAACGTCACGCGGGGTAGCTTGCTGAGATCACGCGCGACGAAAGATGGGATGTCATCTGGGTCGGTCTCATTGAACAGCCTGAAGATGTCTTGCAGGTCTTTCTTACCGCGTCCATCTCTGTGACGTGTGATAAAACGGATTTCGGTCACGGCTGAGTCTGCTAGCACCGTCGCTTGTATGATGTCATCCTCGGTGAAGCTGATCATCACTATCTGCTCCAGAGACACCTGGTCCATGAAGTCCAATTTTTGTCAAACAAAGGCTACAAACTCGTGGAGTACGACGGTATAGGAGCGTTTAGGTTAACGTGCCATTTCGTATTATTTTCGTGCAGTAGGTGCACGTAGTAGAATTGCGACTGTGACTGATGATGTAACAAATTTATAAGACATGTTAATATCCTTGTTAATATAACATCTGTTCATACCTTATAAATAAATAAACCTTATTTAAGCAAATAAATAATAATGAATAATTAATACATTACAATTTTCTTACCTGAGTATGGTGGGCTAGCTGAAATATCATGACTTCTCCGCACTGTTGAGATGCAAGCTCCTCCAAATCTTTTAATAATTTATTTGCGTTCTCTATGGAGAGCCCGTGCATGCTTTTCACGGAAATCTTCGGTGGTCTAAAAATAGTTTTGAACGATGTTTTCAATATTTTATATCAATAAAAAAACAAAAAAGGATAAATAAGACAAAGCGATAAATCACTCGTGACATTCATGTCAACCATTTTGGTTATTCCATAAGAGACAGAGCAAAAGTCACTGACATAGCCTTTGATATCTGCAAAATGAAGTGGCAATGTATTGTCTGTCATAAAAGTGACAACAATAGAGTCAACATGTACAAGAGTTTAACAGATGATAATATGAATGACCAGCATGACTGCCACCAGTTGTGGTGTCATGTCTAATTCTAGTAGAGTAGATTTACCTTCTCCAGTAGTGTAGTTAGTAGTAGTGGCGTAGTAGTGGTATACTACGCTACTATTACTAACTAGGAATAGCATTAGTAGTGTTATGCTACACTACTACTACTGACTCGGAATACTTAGTAGTAGTACTGACTAGTAGTACTAACTATTCCTTGTTAGTAGTAGTAGTAGTGTTATACTACACTACTACTACTACTAACTAGGAAAATTTTGTAGTAGAAGTGGTATACTGTTCTACTACTACTACTTAACTAGGCATAGTTAGTAGTAGTAGTGTTAAAAACTTGAAGATTAGTAGTAGTGTTATAGTGCACTACTAGTGTAGTGTAGTATTTCATATTAGTGCCATTTAAAAGCAAATTGCTTCACTTTATCATATTTTACTTGATTTAATCTTGTTTTAAATTGAAAAACAATGAAGTATTGTCAGCAAACAACACACACAGTGGTTATCCTCTACAACAGGGTTTCCCAACCTTATTTTAACCAGGGACCACTTTGATTTTCTTTTGTAGTTAGCAGGGACCAGATGGGACAAGATGAAAAAAAAAACCGGAAAAATTTTTAATGATCTGATAATATTTACTGATTTATTTAAAGAACTGATAAGAAGCATTCATTAACAGTATTATTTGTGTATTTATTGTAAAAGTTAGTAGGTACTTACTAACGAGGTAGGTACTTAAAACGAAAAGATAATAATTGTGTTATTTAAAACGATTAGGTAGGTCAAATATTTATATCTTTCGCAGTTCATATTTAAGCTCTTGTGGACAACTGGTCGTCTGCAGACCAACGGTTGCTAATCACTGCTGTACAATGTGAATGAATCATTCCTGTTCTCTATATATATATAAATATTGACTGACCCAGAAGTGCTCTTCCCATGGATAACAACTTTTTGGATTCTATTTTTTTAAATATGAACTAATAAATTAAAAAGCAACAAAACATGCAGAAGGATGATAATGCAGAAAAACATACAAGAAGATGAGAAGATAAATTCTTGTACAAAATTGAGTGATAAGTAATTTTATGATGAGGACAGACAACCAAATTTGAAACAAGAATGCGCATACAAATAATATGTGAATAAGAGATGTACTTGTCAGGATACTCGCGACAACATTTGAAGCGCAGAGTGATCGAGCAGTGCGCGCCCGCCGAGTCGTGCAGCGGCAGCAGAGTGAGCAGTACGTCCAGCGGCCGCCACCCCTCCCCCTCTTCTTCACACCATTCTTCCTCATTTATTTCATTCTCCTCGACAGCATCACCATATATTGACTAAAATCAATGTAATAAGCAGACATACATTAGAATTTCAGGCATCATCTGTTAGTCTGTCATGCTAAGATGCACCAATGGTTTTAACTTCAAAGCCTAAGCCTAATATTTTATCAGATTAATTTAAGCCAAATCTCTGCTACAACCAAGTTAAGCTTCTAAGTTAGAAAATTGCAGTAAATGTCATCATAGTATGCCAGCAACCTGAGTCCTTTTAAATATTCAGACTTAAGCCCACCAGCACCAACATTTTAGTGCAGATATATGACTCGCTCAACTGCTGAGAAATAAAACATTTCAAGGACATGTGAAGTCTGGGAACAAGTAATGTAAATAGCTCCAATACCCTCTGAAGAATGAGTCCTGTGCTTATTAGTGGCATATATAAAGGCTGTAACTTTAACTTTAGAATTATATAAATTTGTATATAGAGATTGTGAAATAAACATATCAAAAATATCCACACCAATATATAATTAATAACAAAATAAAACAAACTCATATGTGGTAAAGCCACGATGCAGCTATATATTATGGTTGTAGCACTAATGGGCCAGCTCGAAAGGGATAGAACCACGTTCTCACAGAATACCAACATAAAATAGCAACTTAATGCTGCTGTGTTTTGTATGGGGCGAGTAGAGGACCAGCGACCCTTTTTACTGGAAACGAGGCACTTCATTTTAGTCATTGTTACGGCCCTCAGCTGCCCCGACAAAGGTCGACTGGGCTAAGGCCCATAGTAACCCACACGAAGAGCAGCCGAGGGTACGGGCCCAATGGCCTATGGATAATTATTGTAAAATGGCTGACAAGCAAACACAAACTTAACGAGCTCCGGAGGTAGGGTCGACCACAAGGCACCGTCAGGTGGTAAGTAGTGGATGTAAAGTGGTGTGTGAAAGTGTGTAAATGTAACCAGACATCCTATGTAATCCGAGAGTAGACCCACAGGCACTGCTCCTCTCCACAATGTGCGATCACTCCCGTGGGCGTTCACCAATTGAAACTTTTATTTCACTATATCAGTTGATCAATTTTATTATACATTTAATTAACTTCAAATTTAACCAAATCAACGTTAATCGACATTAAAACTGCACAACTAAAGAACGGTAGGTCAAAGTTCAATGTTCCATGTTCAATTAGCAACAAATTATAATTGAGCAGTATCGCGATCTCCTCTCGAGTCACAAATTTTTAGCGTTCCGCTCGACAAAGCCAATGTCTTATTACGATATCAAAATAACACACAAACAACTCGTCGACGCAAATTAATGACAATAGAAGTTAATTTAATCACTCAAAACTCAAGATAGGCCTCGTTGTCTGTAAAACGCTCAAACAGACAACTCAATTCGAGGCGGTCTTAACGAGATCCAAATATTCGATAGTAAATTCCGTCTTATCTACACTGCGGCGGACGTGCACAATTCTTGACACCGGCCGCGCCCAACTTACTGACCTCGCCCACGCGTCAGGCTACCGAGCGCTCGGCCAAGACCCGCACGGGAGAGGGGGCCGACGGTGACCTTTAAATTCCATCGGAAGGACACGCCGACGCGCGTCTTGAATACAAGTTTTTAAAATGTTTATTATTTGGCCTAAACAGTCATCATAGGTGACAACATATCTGCATTTTGATTCTTAATTAAAAATAAATGCACTTAGATGTCTATAGACCCAGCATCCACTTATCATCAGGTGAACTGTATGCTCGTTTGTCACCCTTATTCTATAAAAAAAAACTTAATATATTTTAAGCTCATTAACAGTGTACAGAAACAAGGAGTAGGATTTCTTTCACAGAACATTTACCATAATTGCCACTCTCAGACAGAACAAGAAGTTTTGAATCATACTTAGTTATTCAGAAAATATTGCATTTATTTAAATTGAACACTATATTTTAGTTAAGGTTTCTTGAATTATTATGAGTTTTACAAATCTGATACTAATTTAATATGTTTTACTCTGTTGTCTCTGTGGCTATGGTATAGAAACTTTTCTCATCCTTACTTTATGTTAATTTTATTTTTCAAAAAAAATTTATAGTCACTATCAAATTTAATTATTCGCCATTTTAATATAAAGAGGTAGTTAATCTAAAGTCCTTCCTAATTTTTAATGTTCTTATATTAATTTAAGTTCAACTTAATTTCAAATAAGTATTGGACAATAATATCTTTTATGACAACTTTCAAACTTTCTATAAGGCAGCTACTACATTGCTTTCTAGTTTTATTATTGTATTTATAAACTCAATGATCTAATGGTCCTAACGCAACTGCTGGTCATGAGGTCCTGTGTTTGAACTGGAGTCGGACCAAAATTAGTAATTGGGTTTTTCTACCAAGAAATTCTCAGTAACAACCCATAATCAGAAAATTGGCAGCATTTTACCTCCGTTCCTCAGAAAGCAAGTAAAGGTGTTGGTCCTGTACCTGATCAGAGATTCATGTCAGAGGTTGTTTTCTAGATACAACTTATTATCTGTACAAGTACATTTTTGAATTATGCCACTTTGTTAGGAAAAATCCTCATTATTTTCAACAAATTGAGGATAGACCCACACGATACTGCGCATGTCACAGTGGATTTAATCTGGTTGTTCCTACTGCACATCTCACAATATTTAAAAATGATCCCTACTACATGGCTATAAGGGTTTACCATTTACCTAATACTATAAAAGCCCTCCATTGTTGTAAATTTGAAATAGTACTTAAGAAAATGCTTATTGTAAAAAGCTATTGTAATTTAAATCTATATTTTAATGATAAATAAGAAATTAATTTTAATGGTTTTGACAAAGTTTACTATTTCTATTTACTTACTAGCTATTCCCCGCGACTTAGCCCATGTGTAATTTAGGGTTTTAATTATGTTGCACGGAACCCTAATTCTTTTTGTAAAATATAAGTAGCCTAAGTTACTCCTTATAACATCAGCTATCTGCCAGGGAAAGTCCCGTTAAAATTGGTCCAGCCATTTCAGAGATAAGCTGGAACTAACAGACAGACATACAGACAAAAATTTTAAAAATTGCATTTTTGTTATAAGTACCATATAAACATTTATATGCATTTTGTAAAAAGCTGTTATTTTGACATTACAAACAAACACTACAATTTTATTTATTTGTATAGATATAGATTTCACATTGTTAATATTTTCATAAAATTTTAAATCTTATTTACACTAATCAATAGTTGTGATAAAATATTTATTAACATTTAATTTTAAAATAAATGTGTGTGTATTATTTTGTATAAATTTATTAATAATAATGTATAGATTATGTACTACAAATATTGTAATTTAATTTAATTCTATATTAATTAACATTTAAACTCCATCTTAAAATGCTACGCCCGTACAGGTTGTCACATGCTCTGTAAATATATTGTAACAACTTTATACTTTGGGACATGTAATAAATGAATTATGATCTCTATCTAGTAGTGTCGGGTTGCTGTAGCATTGGAATATGAGTGAGGAAATACCACCACACCGCATGTAATAGTGTTATGTTGTAGGATCTTGCTAGGATCATGTAAATAATGTTAGTTCTCACTGTTAACATAAAACAGAGCTCTGTCAATAAAAGCATTTTTTTTCTTTAGTTTGGCTTACTACCAATGGATTCTGTTAGCGTCAAGTATTTTGTTAAAGTCACACATTGTATTAGACTACGAAGTTTCCGTAAACAGGTTTACTTTACTCTAATGAAAACATTAAAGAAAAAGATTGCTATTTGTCAATTTTATTGGTGATTAAATTTTACTAACAAATACTACATTTTATAGAATTATTTATATTAAATAATAGACTAAGATTAAGCCTACAAACAAAATATTTACAAATGTGAAATATTTTAACCTTTAAAACAATTAGCTCATTACTTTGCCGCACTTCTGGTGTATCGTCGCACATCTTGCTTAAATAATCAAAGTTGGTGTCTTTTTCATAAAGTCACACGCATCATATCAACAAAAGATAAAACATAAAATATATCACTTCTTCAGTAAATCACTTATTTTAATAGGTAAACAAATAAAGATAATCAGAAGCAGTACAGTGCCGACGTGCTGACAGATGACAGCTGACTGATGAGTTTTTTTTTTTGGAGCTTATGGCCTGGTATCTAAACCTTTAGGCCAAGTCTTAAGTATTTATATTCGGTTTATTGTAATTTCCCCACTCCTTCATAGTATACTGCTTCACAATATGTTGATGCGTCACATTGTGCAGTTCTTGGGAGATTTTGGCGGCAACTTGATCCAGCAGACAGCTGATAGTTGGCGATGGTATCTAAAGGTGCCTATGCAAACAAACAGCTTATCTTGAGAATCCATCACCATCAGAGCACTTGTTTCACTGTTTCCACTAATAGTTCACATGCGTAGACACTTAATACACAAAATCGCAACACTTTTACATATCAAAGTCCACTTCAAACCATTATTTAAACAATAATACAGGAGCAGCAAACCGCCGCCGGTCAATTTCCCGCCAAAACCGCGCTGACTGATGAGTGTGAGTGATTACCACAGACAACAAAACCAGTGTCTCCACTTTAATCGTAAAGGGAGTAGGTATGTAGTATGACGATAGAGTAGTCCTGGCCCATAGACATAGTATCTTATAGACTAAACATTCAGTGACGTCATCAGCGTGTGAAAGGAATGCACGTATATAGTTAGACATAAGAGTAAGGGAGAAGCAAATCTATATTTTTTCTAGGTATGCGTTTTTGATTGTTTTCCCTACTTTATTTGACATTAACGATGTCAAGCTCTTTTGAATAATATTGATATTATAAGCAAACAGGTAATTGAATTTAGTGTTTTTTGTGGGTCTTAGTTATTAGGTAAGGTGAAAAAGATGGTAAGTTGTAGCATTTTAGGATGCAACAGCATGAGTCAACGAAAAATTGATAATATTATCTTTCGTCGATAAGTTTGTTTTGTGCTTACATTTGCTACTTGTACTGATTAATATCTATTATTTTGAATATAAAGTGTAACATTTCATGTTTTTAAGGAACTTTGTTATGTATTTTGTCAAATATTTGGACTCCCAAATTGTAAATTCTTCATGATAATGCTCCTTAATTTGAACGGTCATTCGAAAGCTTAAAGTCATAACAAACGTATACTTTTTGATTTGGTAGGATTATAGAAACTTTAGGGATATCAGCGAGTACAATAATGTTTTCGCATTGTTCAATAATAATTGTTATTGTGATTAGTAGTTATGTCCATAAATATGAATTACATAATGTTATACATATACATACACTTTTATATTCAGCTTTAAAAGAAACTCCTTATTGCCCTACAACTCTTCAATCATTTTCCATATTACATAGACGTCACAAATAATATGTAAGTATCAACCTGAAAACACGTTTGGATTCAAGTACATAAATTTTGTGCAAAGTATATTTAATTTCACAAAATATGTATTGCCTGAAATCAGATGCACAAAACTTTATTGCATTCCATTAATTCTATTATACATTAGCAACAATTACGTTACAATATTTATTAAAAAAAAATATGTCATGCTAAGATAAAAATAAATATAAATATAGATAAAATAATAAATAAATAAATAAGTCTCAATCTTAAGGTACACAATAACACAACAACATAAGATAATATTTTCAATTAATGATATAGAAAAAATTTGATGATAATATACTTACCGTTACCATTAGTCAGTATCAAAAGTCAAAAGTAATAGGTATTGTGATAGTTGCCTAGCTTGGCAGGAGAATTGGCAACTGCAGTTATTTGGAGACAAACTGTGTGGGAGGTCTATGTTCAGCGGTGGAGGACATTTGTTAGGCTGTAAATGTATTAATTAACAATATCTAAAGCCTAATATGTACATAATTTTTTTAAATGTTTGGTATGAACAATATTATCATTACATTTACATATAATTGCTATTTAATTCAATCAATTGATATTGTTTTAATTCTTATAGGTATTGTATTTATGCACAGATACACATACTTGATTTTTTTCTGTTAAATACCTTGATATAAAAGTGTACTATATATTTAATATATTAATTTCTTTTAGATATATTATTTCACAGCTTTCCTAAGGAATCAGCTATCCATAACTGTTGGATAATCGCTATTGGTAGTGATTATAGGTAACCAACAAAACTTACCAGTGTATGCTCAAAACATTTTAAGCCTCATTGTTTTAGATGGACTAATTATGCTTAACTTATGTAATTTATAATATAATTATATTTGGTTTATTTAGTAGTTATGATTTTTGACATTGTTCTGTATGTATTAAAAATTGACTAGCATTGCTTATTTTCAAATGCTGATATTCTGTATTATTATAACTTGTAATAATTTGGTGGCATGACAATGACAAAATATTTACTTATAGATGTATTGATTAAACATGAATCCTCATTTACAAATGTGGGAACTTTGTCTGTACTACCATGTTTTATGCAAATAAAGATTTAAATAAAAGAAATAAATAAGTAATTTAAAGTCCTGACCTAAATATACAAATTAATAATTTATTACGCAATAATAATTGTAAAACTGACTGGGAATGCCTACCAATGCGACATTTAGTCCATCCTTAATCCCTTTTATAAAGGTGTTATAAACATTAATGTGTAAATAAATTAAGAAATAAATGTAATAATTATGATAATTTCTATTTAATTGTCATAAATAATGTAATAAAGATGTTTTTGACAAGAGATAAGTATTACCTATCGAAGTATAGTTTAGGAGTTGTACCTTATTATTTATATCATTAGAATATATAATATACAAGGCAAATAATATATATCATGCAAAAGTATAAATCAAGTTTACAAATGCACATTTTTGAGAAATTCTAAAGCTACTTAAACCAAGAATTACAACGAAGAATTACAAGGAAAGAAGACAAAAATTTTGTTAAATTTGTTGTTTATTAATGTGATCAAAAATTAATAAGTAATCGTTTGTTTATTTTGATTTTATTGAATTATATTTAATATATAATTGTGTTTTCATTTTTTTCACTTAATGTAACATAGTTAATATTTCTAAATGTTGTGTAAGTACACAAAATTTAGTTCTTTTTCCTTTTTAAATTTCAATATATTTTCATTTAAATAGAATGAATATATATCTTTTTAACGGTGGTAGAGCCCCGCAGCAGTTTTTGCTGTTGCACGTATGGGCCGGCTCGAGCCGGGTTGGTACCACGACCTCACAGAATACCGGTGTGAAGTAGAGGCTCTGCTTCTGTGTTTCGTCTGGTGAGTGCAGGTGGCTGGAGGCCCAATTCCCCCCCCCCCCCCCATCAACATGGTAGCGGAATTAGACAATAGACTACCCCAGGAGGGTACCAGTACCCCTGGAGAATCCCTCGCTGAGCATCCACGACCATGTTATTCCAATCCTGAGCGTGGGTGCTCAGGCTGCCCCGCGTATTCTGGGGGGGGGGGGGGGCAAAATTCCGCTCAAAAACATAACTGTTCGGGGAAAACTGAGTAACAAGACCAAGGCGACCCCTGCCACGCTATCCGTAAATTTCTGCAACATCAGGGGACTTCACTCTAACCTAAACGCCGTCCACTACCATCTCGAGACGGCGAAGCCGGCCTTGCTCTTTCTGACCGAGACGCAGGTTTCCTCTCCGGCTGATATTTCGTATCTCTCCTACCCGGGGTACAAATTGGAGCACTCCTTTGTGCCTCGGGCTGGAGTTTGCGTGTATGTCAGAGAGGATATCTGTTCTCGACGCCTCGGCAGTCTTGAAGGTTCGGACCTGTCCATCCTTTGGCTACGCGTAGACAGCGACGACCATCCGCGCGTCTACGGGTGCCTCTATAGGTCCCATAGCGGTAATGCCGAAACAGACCGACTCATCGACCACGTCCAAATGGCTACAGATTCCTTGCTACAACAGGTCCCATCCGCAGAGATCGTGATCCTTGGCGATTTTAACGCCCACCATGCCGAAAGGCTCGGTTCACGTTTAACCGATCATGCGGGGAGATCTGTTTATGACTTTGCCTTGGCATATGGTCTGACACAACTGGTTACTTCGCCTACGCGGATTCCAGATGTGGATCATACACCTTCCCTGTTGGACCTTCTGCTGACCTCTCATCCGGACGGATATCAGGTTTCCGTCGATTCCCCTCTCGGCTCTTCGGACCATTGTCTGATCCGGAGTATGGTGCCACTCACGCTCCCTTCGCGGTTGCGTTCTGCAGGTTGCCGCCGTGTTTGTCATTACAGGTCGGCGGATTGGGACGAAATGCGGTCTTTCTTTGCATCCTACACATGGGGGCGGGTTTGCTTCTCGCCGGACGATCCCAGCGCTGTTGCTGACTCTGTCACTGATGTGGTGCTACAGGGAATGGAACTATTTATTCCATCATCTGTGGTACCCATCGGAGGCAGATCTCAGCCTTGGTTTGGTCGCTCCTGTAAGAGTGCATTGCGCAGTAAGCAGGAGTGTTATCAAGCCTGGGCTGCGGCTTCGGTGACTCGGGATGTAAACACCAGAACACTTAAAAAGAAGTATAACTTCGCCTCCAGGTCCTTCAAAAGAGTTATTGCCAAGGCAAAGTCAGAGCACATAGGCAGTATTGGCGAGAAACTAGTTCGCCTTCCTTCGGGAACCCGTGCATTCTGGTCTCTCGCCAAGGCTGTCCAAGGGAATTTCTGTAAGCCATCACTACCATCTCTGTACAGGGAGGACGACTCACTGGCCCAAGACGCAAAAGACAAAGCCGACCTTTTAGGCTCCCTTTTTGCGTCCAACTCGACTCTTGATGACGGGGGGAAAATACCGCCGACCATCCCGCGGTGTGAGTGCTCCATGCCGGATGTGCTATTCTCACAGCGCTCAGTTCGCAAAGCACTTCTCTCCCTGGACATCCAG